TATATATATATGGGAGGCCATGTGAGGGCGTGTCTCTCTCTCTCTCTCTCTCTCTCTCTCTCTCTCTCTCTCTCTCTCTCTCTCCTTTCTCCTTGTGTAACTATCTCCATTGTAGTTCTCCATGTAGAGTTGAAGATTGATTGCTTGCCCCTAGTATTTGCCTAACATGTCTGTGTGTGTGTATACATTCATACATGCATACATATGCACCAGGGGTGGGTTTCTCGCCCCGTTCCAACTGGTTCGGTTGGAACGAGGCCGGCGGCGTCCTCGCGCACGCACGCGGCGCACACATGCGTACTAGCGTCTGTGCGATGCTCCAGCTGCTCCTGGAGGATCGCGCAGGCGCTGTATGCGTCCTGCGCATGCGTGGAAGCGCAGAATTCGTTAAAACTGTGTAAGGAGCGGGCACGGGCGCGCGGGCGCGCGTGGGCGCAGGGGGGGCCCTTCACCGTTCCCGGAAGTTACTTACTTCCGGGTTCGGCGACCAACCGGTTCGCAGGGACCGCCGCGAACCGGTTGAAACCCACCCCTGGTGCATACGCAGAACATTGTAAAGGGGGGAAAATCCATGCTGCGCTGACTGGGGAACCCACCTCTGGGCTGAGCCACCGCCTCATCCTACCCCATCAGAAGGGGATGCAGTTGAAAAATGAAATAGGAAAGGGAAGGACTAAGATGTAGTGTCTAATGTATTTGACCAATACCAAAGTGATTCTATTTCTAATATATCTGTAGTCACAGATGGAGACCAATAAGTAATTACAAAATATTTATTGAATTTTAACAACTACTGTAAATATACATAGATGAACAGGGACCACCACTATTTCAGCCAGTTCTTTCTGGAGGTATTTGAGTCATAATTAATGTAGATCCATGTTGAGTTGAAAGATTTTAAGTGGAATACAGGGAACACTCTTAAATCCATTAACATTTATTCTGTTGGGCAAAAGAGCATTTACATCTTTTGTATATGTTTTTTATTCTTGTGTACCTCAAAAGCTTATTAAAATGTTTAAAGCTGTTAAGATACAATTACCTCAATTATTTTTTTTTAATGGTTTAATTATGAAGGTGATTTAATGCATTATTTTAGTCAGGTTTAAAGCCATTGAATTGTGCAATCGGTTATTGGATTACAGCTCCCACTGCATTTGCTGCAAACAATGAGAAATGTACTTTCATACCTATAAAAGTTGGAGAAAATACGTTAGCTGTTGTGCTGTGGTGGGAGTATGCTGTTTTTTCACTGCAACAGATCAAAATGGCGGTACCCTAAAAATACATTTGTGTGGTGGTACATATCTGATTTACTGATAAATTAGTACGCTAGATTTCCAAATTCTGAATTTGCCAAGTATTGCATGGGCCAATTTCCACAAAAAGTCTATAATTTTCTTACTCCCTTTCTTTTCCTGGAAACCTTTACAAATTGGCACACATATTTTAATATGCTGCATAAAAATATTACTCATGTAAAATCAAGTCAACGCAACTTAAGAACAATGGAAAATTTATGAGCAGCAAATCATCTTAAATTGAGCTCAGTTTTAAGGAACGGCTTTGTTGAACAAATTCCTCTCCCCCCCCCCCCCCCGGTTTTCAGAAAACCTGGTTTCATATTCAATTCACATTAGGAATCTGCACATCTAATATGGACATAAGGATGTGGGGTAATTAAAAAAGTCAGAGAAAAAACTCTTCCCCATCTGTTGAAGAAAATCATATTTTATGCATTTGCAGACATGCATATTCCAATTTATTTCAAAACTTTTCATCCGTATCAAAAGCAGCATTGTTAGTTTTTAGAAAAAGCATTGTGACAATGTTCCTAATTTCGCCAAAATGCCTGGTGTTACAAAAACTGCCACAAAGGTTAGAACTCTTATTGGTCAGGGAAAAATATCTGATTTCTTTTATTGGCTAGAAATTAATATTCTATTTCACTGATTTTATTTTAAAACAAAACAAAAGTAAAGANTTTATATTGATATTGATTGTTTCTTGATTGCTTATTTGCAACCTATGACTATCATTAAGTGTTGTATCTTATGATTCTTGACGAATGTAACTTGTCTTTTTATGTGCATTGAGAGCATCTGCACCAAAGACAAATTCATTGGCCAATAAAGAATTCTATTCTATTCTAATTACAAAGGAAAAGACTGTAAGAAAAAAGTCATCTTAATGTATAAAGTGGCAAAAAAGGGATATTTTCTTCTTCTTTTATTACTGTGGAATTTCTTCCAACAGTAATAAAATATTATGAGCATGCAGGGTTGTGATCCCACAAATGGAGCACTAAGCCCATTATTTTTCCATCAGCCCCATGTCAGAAATGTATAGTAGAAGCCAATTATCTACACCGGCTATTTCAGAGAAGAAAAGGTGATCTTAGCTACCTCTTTAAAGGGATCCATCCTTCAGTGAATATAGATCTGCTTTGGAAGAACAAGTCAAACGTTTTATTACCCAACTAGATATCATAATCAATGCTCAGGGTTGTCCTGCATCAGAAAAGAGTTCTACTTCTGGAATAAGAACAAGACAGATCCCCATTTAACGGTCCCAGAGAAAGAAGGGATATAAATTAACACATTTATATAAATAAAAGGCAGATCAGTAATATGGAATGATGCTGATGACTCTTCGGAAAATACTAGAATGTGAGAATATCAAATTATGTCTTACAATCTGTAAAACATTTTGTCCAAAGTAAAATACATAGCAATTAACTCCTGGCAAAATGTTAGCCATGTGTATGCTAAGAGAAAAGAGATTTTAAACAGTGGTTGTCATTTAAACTTCATATTCATTTGTTCAATTCATAATCCATATTACCAAATCAGATGTAAGGCAGCTGACAAATAACATGGCTTGACAAATTTTGGTTTCTGATATGACACAACTGTTCTTCCTGAAGTGTTTGTAAATTGACCCCATGCTGAGAGACCTGAATAGATGGAATTCATCTTTTGTTCCCTCCCCCCCCAAATGCTTCTCCTGGTATCATCTTTCTTATACAATAGCACAACTGGAAAAACACTACTTTTGTAGTGCCTTTATTGCTCCACCAGAATTCATTAAGAAGGTGGATTTAGCTAATAAATAATTTCTGATTTGCTAGCTAGACATCAGAGACAGAGAATTAGGAAGGACTTTGGAAAACAACAGTTTCTCCATGGATGTTACAACTAAAATAAAAAATCCAAGCCAAACGAAACCTAAGTGTAGGAATGGACCAGGGGTGGGTTTCAACCGGTTCGCGGCAGTCCCCGCGAACCGGTTGGTCGGAAGTAACTTACTTCCGGGAACGGCGAAGGGCCCACCCGCCCNAACTCCACCGAGCCCAACATTTCCGTTGCTGAGTGAGATTTTTGTGACTTTTGCCCCAATTTAGGATCTTTCCTGCCAGAATTGTTAAGTAAATCATTGCAGTTGTTAAGTTAGTAATACAGCTGTTAAGTAAATCTGGCTTCCCCACTGATCACGCAAAAAGTGATCGCATGACCTTGGGACACGGCAACCGTCATAAGTATGAATCGGTTGTCAAGCAGCTGAATTTTGATCACCTGACCACGAGGAATGCTGCAATGATTGTAAATGTGAAAAATGGTCATCGGTTGCTTTTTTCAACGATGTTTCAATTTTGAACGGTTCCTAAATGAATTGTTGTAAGTCTAGGAGTTACTGTATAAACTTAACTGTAGTGATTCACTTAACGGCTATGGCAAAAAAGGTTGTAAAATGAGGCAAAATTCACTCAACAACAGTCTTGCTTAGAAATGGGAAATTTTTGGCTCAGCTGTGGTTATAAGCTGAGGACTGCCTGTAGGAAGATGGGAGCAAAAGAGAAAGGAATACCAAGGGTATTCACCTATGTTCCACAAAGGCATCAACCAGCTCTTGCCGGAGACAACAAAGCTTGTGCCGGTGTTGCTTGGGGAAGCCCATCTTCTGACATTCTTCGGGCATGTCTTCCCCCTCCACAGGTAGAAAATTCAGGTCGGGGGGAAAGGTGCGGAGCAAGTCAAGGATGTAATGGCGCCCGTCGTTGCCAATGATCCCCTTGCACTCCACGGAAGAACACAACTCCACCTCCTCACTCTTGTCGTTGAGAACCAGGTGCTTCTGGATCTTCAGCGGTCGGCTGGTCTTCTCCAGCAACTCCAGGTACTTGGGGTGGGAGACGACTGTCTTGCCAAAGTCTATGGAGCCGTAGATGACACTCTGTTCTTGCTCCCGTTCCAGAATGCCTGGAATGATGGACTGAGCCGTCACCCGGTACCCTCGATAGTCCACCACCACTGTGCCCAGGGTGTACAGTCCTTCAATGTCCACAGCATTGTATGTCCGGACCCCATTGAGGTCATTGGTTGGAGCCACGTAAGCGGCCACATCTCCTCCGAAGTCCTTATAGTGGTCCCGGACGTCAAAACCCAAGCTGAAGAAGATGTTGTTCCAGATAAACATCTGCATCTTGGTTTCCTCGCTCGGATTGATCGCCATCACGTTGCCATCAATGACAGCCATCGCACCTCTGGTGGCCGCTGCAGTGAAGTCACTGTGAACCTGGGAAGGACGGAACAATCAAAGGATGACTAGATTGCAAGAACGGTGGCATTCCTTAGTTTAATCAAATAGTCTGCGTGCCTGTTTTCAAGGACGCGTGCCCAACTCACAAAATTCATTTAGTGACCGTTGGAAGTTACAGCAGTATTGAAAAAAAGTGACTTATGACCGTTTCCCCACACTTATGACCGCTGCAGCATCCCCATGATCCCCTGATCAAAATTCGGATGCTTGGCAACTGACTTGTACTTATGACGGTTGCAGTCTCATGCAATCAGCTTTTGCGACCTTCTGACAAGCAAGGTCAATGGGGAAGCTCACAGATTCACTTTGCAACCGTGTTACTAACTGAACAATTGCAGAGATTTGCTTAACAACCATGAGAAGAAAGATCGCAAAATGGGGCAAAATTCACAACAACTGTCTGGCTTAGCAGCAGAAATTCTGGGCTCAGTTGTGGCCGTATGTTAGGACTGTCTGAATACCCCAACCCTTCTGCTTTTGCTTAAAAAGAACTTCACTGGAAAATGCTGTTAAAGACCCCGTGTCAGGCCTGCAGCCATCTTTTCTTTTGGATCTTTGGCCTGTCACACTTTCTATTATTCTACTATGCATTTTCTATTATGAGAAAATGGGAGGGGGGATTGTAGGAGTGAGATGTAGCCATAACAAAATTCTTTCTAGAAAGCCAAG